AAGCCCTTTAATCCCCTTTGTTGTTGGGGTGGCGCGCCACCCAAACTGACCAGCTTAATTCTTTTGTGATTTCTTGGAACCCGCGGCACCTTTCCCTGACTTTTGGCGCCATATGAATTTTTGAATTTCTTTAAAATTTTTAAATTGTGTTCTCTCTCAAAAAAAGGAAGAAAACGATACCAAATAACATATGCTTCGAAAATGTTATAGGAAGCAGAAAAAAAACCCCTGACCACCCAGGTTATGTTTTCTATATCTTGAAACAGGCGGCAGCTTTAACGAAGAAAACGATACCAAATAACATATACTTCGAAAATTTTATAGGAAGCAGAAAAAAAAACCCTGACCACCCAGGGTATGTTTTCTATATCTTGAAACAGGCGGCAGCTTTCTATGAATTTTGGCACCATATGAATTTTTGAAACTCTTTAAATTTTAAAGGTTCCAAGAAATAACAAAAGAATTAAGCTGGTCAGTTTGGGTGGCGCGCCACCCCAATGACAAAGGGGATTAAAGGGCTTACCGTTTGGGACTGAATGCGCTTGGGACGGATCTTCCTAGTACCATATTCACAGAGAAAGGAATAATGCGAGGAAATTCCAGGAACTGTGGACGGTTTGTGCCACAATTGGCAAAGTTCAGGAACAAAGACTGGCTTTGTTTGCCGAACGGTTCAATACGGAAGGAAGGCATCGCTCAACATGTATAATGTCTTCAGGGTCAATTTGTTTCGAGAAATGCCAAAGTTTGATGCGATTTTCCATGACAGTACTGTATAATGTCTCGTACAGAAATGATAATCGCTGTGTGTTCCGTTTACGGAATTGGCACGGCCATTAAATAGGAGCATTTTTTATGGACAATCAATCAAAATTCGTTAACTTCGATATAACGAGCAGCAATTTGATTCCATTTTGGCTTTAAAGATTGAGCTGTTCTGAAGCTCTTTGGTACCCATACTTTTTTTTTACTTGGAAATGTGACCGATTCGTAAGATTATGGAAGCAAAGGACAATTTCCGAGGTACTTTCCAGCAATAAATAAAAAAATTCAACAGGAGCACCTGGTAATATGTCTCGGATAGGGTACATTAGGGGCACAACCAGATTTAATTTTCCCCAAGACCAAGCCCGTGTGTTCAAACTTCTGCATCTCACTTTTTCTTCCACAAGGACTTCAAAAGGTAATATTTTTAGTCACTCACTTCTCAAAAGTCAAAACTGGCAACAATTTGGAAGAACTTCTCAAAAAATGCAATAAAACTTATTTGCCTTAACATTTCAGCATGAAACAATGGTGTAAAAGAAAATAGTACACAAACTGCCTCTTTGGCATGTAAAAGTGTTCAAGATGTAAAAAAACATGGAGCATATGCATGGTGGACTATCTCTACAATGATCTTGCCTACAACAATTTTGTGAGAAACTAAAGAGAGAGAAATGACCATTTTGCCGCTTCTGCGTGGGCACTAGAGTTTGCGTAACTGCCAAAAACAGCAGAAGCAATAAAGTCGCTGTCACCAGGGCCATAAAAACAACATCGGAACTGGGTCATAAAAACCAAACTCCAAAACTGTGTTCTGGCAGGGAAAATCTGAAGAATTGCTCTTCTCACAGGAAAAGGTAGAAAGCGAACCCCAGGGGGCTTGGAGCGCAGAAATCGGGCTCTCCACAACCTGATTCCAAGAAAGAGGTGATATTTCCCTCCTTCTCTCTTCCCATATCCACTCAGTAAAAAATGCGTTATTTCCCACTTTGTGGGAACCGCGCATAACCAGGTCCAGATGTTGCCTAACACATGGGGAAAAACACCCCATTCAAAATGCAGGGGGACAATGATTTACTGATCATCTTGTTAACCCTACCTGCAACCGTCCTTCCGCTGGACAATCTTAACACACCCTGCCAATTATTTTCGAACAGGCATAAAAGGGACCTGAAGCCCCAAGAAAATCATCTAACTGTTTCAAGAAGGAAACCACGTTGGACAAATGTTTTCCACTGCCAAAAACTCTGCAAAATTCACTTGTGTTTCCTCTTGCAAGAAGCGTTTACCCAGAAGTGTTTGTCATAGTTTTGAACCAAACTTTTCATTCTGCCTATTGTGCTGACAAAAGTACAAGTTGCGCTTATTTTGGGATTTCAAATCCCTTAGGCTGGTTGCGCACTGACCAATCGCCAAGTTTCCCTTTTCTTTCAAATTCCTCTATCCTCTCACCTGCACAAAATTGGGGTGCGACCCTTGATTTTGCACACATTTTTTTTTTGTATGGCAAGCAACATTTTCTTTTGTGCCAAAGGGTTCTCTCATGTTATAGATATAGAGGTTCTCATCTGCAATGAAATTCTCCCTACAACGACGTTTTTGCTGTTCCTTTGAATTTTTTGTAGAGAGTCTACCTTTACCAAATTGTACAGTAGTATGTACACAGTTGGTGGGGAAAATACAGTAATGAATAACCAAAGCACAAAATTATAACCTACACTAGAACATGAAGTACTGTACAGTATAGTACATTCATAACAAAATTTATTTTGACAAAATTCCCATGGGAGTCGCTCAATTTGTTCAAGACCTACCGAAATCTTCAAAAATAATTCCTTTTGTTCCTTTGGAAATTTCTGAGAAGTTTCCTTTATCCAGATATTGTCCAGATGTCAGGTCCCCAGCAGCAATGTCTGTTACCAACATCTGAAATTCAATTTAACACTTGCAAGAATGCTCACAACAGTTTTGCATACATTGAAAACATACACTAAAATTCGGTTTGTAGACGGTTCGTAAATTTGGCTCAGGTTTAATGTTTTTCCCCACATAAGGCTATTGATTGGTTCTCTTTTAATCTGAATAAGTTGACAGGAACCGGTCTCAAATTAGGGAACGATGTGTTAAATGTTTATGAAGAGACTCCCAGGAATCGTAACTTTACTGAGTTGATGGGATGGGCTAGGAATACATATTCAACCTTTACCCATTACATAGGAAAATGGGTCATTCAAAAACTAGGTCTTTTCAGGGAAGTACATCATAACTTTTTAAGTTCACCCCGTATATTTGCGTAATAAACAGGCGCAAAAATGAACCTGTTAGACCACGAAAGATCCAGAGTATCCCATATTTGTTGGTGGCTTCTTAACATCAGAAAAAAAAATTACTCAACTTCATTTTTTTTAAAGAGTAATTTGGAGCAGAACGTCGCGGAAGTATCGATCAAGGTTTGATGGGGGGTCGGTCAACTTGTTCAGTTTGACAACAAAACGAGGTTGAAATTTTGGTCGATACGCTAGCATGAGCAGTTGACCTATGCTGATGAACTTCCGATATTAATTTCGATGCCGGGAAAAGGCCACGAACGCGGGAGCCACGTGACCCAGGTTTGAGGTCAGAGTCGTTGCTCCCGACGCGAGTTGCGCAGAAGTTCCACGAATGAAAGGTGATTATTTAAGCAATTTGCACAGCAACGAAAAAAAAGGGAAGGAGAGGAAAAACCGGCTGTTATTCGCTGCTTCATTTGGCAGGCGAATTCAGGCTGGGGAACGTGTGCCAATTCCGTTACTGCAATAAAAACTTTTCCTCGTGGTTTGCGAGCGTGAAATTTATTAAATAAAATGTTTTTAATGTTTCACAGAAGATTCAGCGATGCATTTTTGATTGCTAATGCCCCTCATATAGCGAATATAAATTATGCGTGTATAATTTTTTTTTATGTCAGCAGACTGATTCAGTGTATTAATCCCGGTAGTTCGCTACACACTGCCAAAGCACGTTAGAAGCCTACTTGAAAAACATTTTGTTCATCACCAAATTTCGGCATGAAAATTTATACGTGCCTATGTGCAAAAACAAAACAAAAAACTCTGTGAGCGGTATTTGCAAAGTAAGCTATTATAAAGGCACTCATCTTTATATTTATACACTGACAATAAGAGGCCTGCGAATTTTCAAAATTTGTGATTCGGAAAGATATATGCAACCGAAAAATAGAAATTTCGTCATCTAAAAAATGTAAATGGAAGGTGTCTCAGGGCTGTATTTAAATCCTGCTCACTTTTAGATTTATTATCACATATCTTTATTTCGGCCTGAGCTGTCCCAAATATGAAATTACAGCGTGGAATTCACTCCATTATATCATTTTATGGACCGCAACCGAATTTATGTCAGGCACTTTAAAAATGAGAAACATATGTCCCCTATCAACTCTTGAATTCTCCAGTTGTTTTCAAACTGCGGGTTTCATTCCGAGAACTTCTTGATCCTATAATTGCAGTTTATGTATACAGTATTTTTGGAATATAGGATTATTCAATTCTTTAGCATTTCGAAATGAAGAAGTTGGATTGAAAACTCCATGGTTTGGGCCCTGATGATAGATAAAATCATTTAAAAATGACCTGAGTATGAACCAAGGTTTTTTTTAATTATTGGTGAATTTATGAAGTTGAAGTACTTTACGCTAGATTAGACCGATGTCTGCAATGTTTTCAGCATGTAATTTGAACTTATTCATCTGCTGCTCGTGCTTTTTGATGAAATTTTGAAAGATTTCAAAGAAAGAAGTGCATGAAAAAGCGAATTTCTTTTCAAATAAGACGGCTCATGCTGTAAGAGAACAATGTTTTGGGATTTCGATGAAAATTATCTTGTTGATTCTGTACTACAATAATACTGCACTTGAATTCAGTATATCATAAATAAATCAGACACTTTAAGGATGGGAAGAGTGTTGGAACCAGGAGTGTTTCTCAGTTTAAAAATCCTTTCAAAGTTGACTAAATTTTGACGACAGAAACATTTTGATGCCCCTCGTCTTATTATCAATTGTCCACATTCTGCAAGACTGCCGACTTCGTCCTATATTTTCGAGAATGTTTCGCATTTTTTCGTATTCCGCAAATGAGTTAATCGTTGTTTCCTGTTATCAAATAAGGAATGCCATCCTCTACTTTATAATAATGCAATTTGAATAATATAATGAAGTCCCGCGAATATTCCTCGACAGGTTCAGGAATATATAGTGGCGAGTGGGAGCGAGGAATCCGGTGAACTATTCAACTTTTTTCCCTCGGCGGATTATTTCTGACGAGACTCGATCGAAAAGCAGCAGAGGGTATTAAGGGTTAATTGCCGGTATTCGACCTACGGGATCATCCAGAATCCGAAGAGCCCAAGAATTCGTGACCAACTTCCCGAGCAACCGTGAATGGGAATTTATTCCGGAATAGACATGGACAACCGTGATCCGAACCACCTCAATTCCCACTTGCAGGTCAGCTATTCCAGCTTTTTCTTTCCGATTTTCCCCCGGAAAAATATTCCTTTTCTTTTATTTCGGGATTTTTATCGACTGCTAATTGGACTCCGATTCATATACCGCTACTATATACTTGAGAGTATAGAGTATAAGCATCCGAGAAAAAAAAAAACCATTAAAGAATTCGAACGTACGTGACGAGGAACTTTCAGAAACGGGGATTTAATTCATGTCTTATTATTGGAAAATTTCATAAATGACTCAGAGTATAGGGGTTCGATTTTTCGGAAACGAATGCGAATCGCTTCTCTCGTTCATTTCGAATTTCAGTATGATTTCACATCATGAGAGCAGGATTATTTCGTTTTCCTGGGAAGACTGTGATTCGAAAATTACATTGTTGAATGGTTAATTTTTAAATTTAGATTGAATGGCACAGTTAAATCCAAGTAAAAAGCTGCGATTATTGATGAATTTGTTTTGATTCAATGAAAAACTTCTCCCGCGTTTCCTAATACAGTGGCCCCCCGCCTAACAGACCTCCCGTGTAAGGGATTTTCGCCAAACAGACCAGCTCTGCAAGCAGTTTTTCCTCCCGCCCAACAGACACAATCCGCCGAACAGACTTCTTTTGGTTTAAAATTATTGTTGAAAATTGAAATTTTTGCTTTTTTATTTAATTGAATTTGTGTAAAGGACTTTTTGTCTAACAGACTTGTCCCTTGCACGAATCAAGTCCGTTAGACGGGGGTTGACTGTAGTAGTTCTGTCGTTTTGGTCTTTTGCTTGTTGAGAAAGTGTAAATCAATTTCATAAACTCTAAGATTAATGCATTTGGCTGTTTTACAAAAGATGCTCATTTTTAAAACGGGAAGACTTCTCCAATTCATGATACGATCTCATCTACGAAGATTTTCTTCTTACAAAAATTGTTCAAGTCCTCTATTCCGTTCCTTCTCCATGTTACATAATTTTCTACAACAAAATTCTCTCCGAAACGATTCGTGGTGCTTGGGATTTTTTTTTAGAGAGATTTCACCTGTATTCAAAGTACAGTAGATTTGAACCATTTTCCAGCTTTTTCGTGTAAAAAATTTTTTCCAGGCGTCGCATAATGCAAATCATGCTTCGAGGGCTTCATGAACTTTCATAATTTTCTGAGAAATATAAAAATAGCATGAAAATACGCGTTCAGCTGAATTAAGGACACAAAAACCATGTTTATCCACTTTGAAATGATCCTCAGGCTATAAGACAGTATTTGATATGGCACGCAGTCTGTGATCAAAAACAGACTGTGCAATCATCCGACGACGCCAAAATCGATCGCATGAGGAGTGCGAATATTCTGCGCCAAAAAAATAATAATCCGCTGTACGACATTAACCCGGGCACAAATGTATAATCGTTTGTGACCCCGGACTCCCGAAGTAAATGATATTCATCAATATCCGGATCCGAAGTCTCTTTTTCTTCCCTTCCTGGAAGTCACAGGAAAACGGAATGTATTTTTCGGAGAGAACAAAGGGCCGGAATATATATATAAGTCGAAGAATGACTTCGGGCCCGACGAGGTCAAAAGCGTCGCATTAAAATCAACTCGGAGCGATCACGACTCGGTTATTCGATCACAGTCGGACCCATTTCTATTATTTTACATGTCCGAGGGTTGGTTCGGAAGTTTCAGGACTTTTTGAAATATTGTAGATGGAATGGAGTTTTACAATTCCACCTTTTTTGTTTACTCGCATACTTCCATCATTTGGCAACACTGCAGCAATGTTCAACGCGGTCTCAGCCGATTTCAATGCATGTTTCCATGCAATAATAAACCCAACATCAAAACATTGCCAAAAATTGATCAAGCTGCTCTTTTATTAACGACGGAAATGAGGATGTCACTGTCCTGAAAATAAACCTCTTTGAGACCATTCTTCACCATTGGGAAAAGCCAGAAGTCACTGAATTTTTTGGCCATTGAAATTTTCCTCCCAAACGTGTTTCCTGTTGAATTCCGCCCCCCCCAAATCATTTAAAAATATATTGCCACCTGTGACTTTTTGCTGTTCTCAATGGTGAAGAATGGTCTGGAAGGCATTGATTTTGAGGACAGTGACAGCGTCATTTTTGTTGTCACAGAGCAGCTTGATCAACTAATTAAATTGTCAATACAGTGGCCCCCCACCTAACAGACCTCCTGTGCAAGGGATTTTCGCCAAACAGACTTCTTTTGGTTTAAAATTAGTGTTGAAAATTGAAAATTTTAATTTTTTATGTAATTGAATTTGTGTAAAGGACTTTTTGTCTAACAGACTCGTCCCTTGCACAAATCAAGTCTGTTAGACGGGGGTTGACTGTATTTGGCTCTACAGCATTTTGATCATTGGGTGTATCCCACAAAAACTAAATTAAAAGCAGTGGCAACTGCGCTGATCAGCACTGAAGTGTTGCCAAATGATGGGACAATGCAAGTTTAATGAATGTTTGAACAGAATGCTTTATTTTCCACTTTTCAGCATTTACAAGGTTCAATCAAGATTTCCACATCCAAACCCCCTCCCCACCCAACCTAAATCAACTCAAAGACATTCAATCAATTCAGAGCAGGAAACAGAGAACAAATGGATAACAAAAATAAAAGAAAAAACAATCCACAAAATACAACCGGACATCTGACATGTATGCATACACCCCTTCCTTCCTTGACATTGAAATCAAAATATTGGTAACAATTAATTTAAAGCACAAGGTCTTCAGCTTGTTTCCAGATCAGGATTAGTTGAATGAACAATTTAGAGAGAATCTTTGATGAGAAATCATATATGGCCAACAGTTTATCTTGATCCTTCAAGATTCAACACCCAAAAATATGAATTTTTGAAACCCTGTTGGATCAATGTAAAAAACTTTTAAACCAACCCTCGTCCAATTCCCGATATTCTATTATTTTTCCATTGGTTGTACTGATGAACCAAGAACCACACAGAGGGGGGAAGGCAGCAAATGCAAGATCATCATCATGTCGGTGCTCTCTCTGATTCTGTGGGTTCCACTGTCCAGAGGTCGACAGGGTCACGAATCTCCACCAGCGAGTATCGCAGACTTCCCAGACACTTGTCATTCCATTTGGGACTTGATCGTCTAAGCCCAAGTTCTTTGGCTTGTGTGGATTCATTTCATGCCCACTGCAGTTTGAGAGGATACATGAACATGGGAAAAAAAATTTACATTCCGGGGGAAATTCCCTAAAAAAATTCAGTATAGCTGCTTCAACCGAATTTTTTTTTTCTCTCTCAGAACATTAGTTCTTCCTGGCGCGAAGACGAGTATAACCCATCACAAAACTCAAAATTCCGAAGAGGATGATTGCGAGCAGGAAGAAAATTGTTACATTTGGGTGTGAATGAAGTTCTCGAGTTGCCTAAAAATTGTGTGTCCTGGGTCCTTAAACTGTACGAAGGTCAACTGGGTCACGAATCTCACAGTACGGTATTCGTCAGAGCAATATGTCATTCCGCCTCGGGCTCGATTGTCTGAGCCCAAGTTGTTCAGTTTGTCGATCCAAAAAGTCCAAGTCACTTGCGTCAAAGTATTTTTTGAACGATGTTCAAGAATTATTTCTGGCAGTGCACGTGTATAGAAGAGATGTTCACTTGTTCCGTGAAGTCAGTTATATTACACAAATACAGGATTGCATATATGGGGCTTCAATCTTCAGACAAGTGCTGTGCAGGGAATTTCTTTGAAATTAGATAAATAAAATAATTCAAGAATAGCATATTCTCAATTCCTACAAATGGAACTTGGAGGTAAGTATTTAAAACAAAGAAGATGGTGTTTTTTTCAGTCAAACCTTTCTAAGTTAAGTTTCCAAGGAGCATAATAAATTCATATTAGCGAGGTTTCAACTCTGAGAGGTTTTTGTTATGGAACCAAGCATTTTTGTTGTAGGAAACAGAACAATTGCGCTAAATTGTAAATGGTGATATTCTGGGCCTGAAATTGCTTCTAAAATGAGGTGCCAGGATGCTGAATTTGGAGACAGGGGTTCATTTGCCCAATTTAGTCTGTCAAATTCTTTCAAAATACATTTTGAAAATTCCACTTTTTATTGCGGTCTTTCTTTTCTGTCAAGATAATAAATGGTCTCAAAAAAGTTGACTTCTTGCTGAAGGTCTACATTCTCTAAAAGGAAATGCTTTGAGTTTGGGAGGTTTTTAATGCATTGCTTTCAAGAGAATTCAGATGGGGACTTAGAAAACAATTTTGAGGGAGTTATTCAACTCAAGAAGGTTTAAGTTATGGAGGTTAAAATGTATAATTTGACCAGAACAGCGGAACACAAAAACAACACCGTGTATGTACCCCTAAAATCATTCGAAACGGACAAGAAGAAATCAACTCCAATAAATTCAAGGATTGGAATCATAAGAGAAGTCCACCGAGGTTTGACATAAAAAATACAAGTATAGAAAGCTGCAAATATTCGTCAACGGTTGCTAATGCATTTATAGTCACAGAAATGTCAACCTAAACAAAAATTAGTCAAACGTGGTCATACACTAAAGAAAATAAAAAATGGTTTGGAACCGTTTAGCACAGCATTTCTGGATGACCAATTTATGTGTCAACTAAATAATTGAAAGGTTGGTTTATTCGAGTATATATGCGTAAAAACAAAGAGTTATTACAATATGACGGGCTTTTGAAAGAGAATCCGCAACAGAAATCCCACCGGGCTTCTTTAATAAATTATATATGTGATTGAAGCTAGATTTATTTCAATAATGAAAAAAACAATACAATGACAATTGGCATTGATTTTGGTCAGTCCACCAAATCATTTCTATGTTTTATCTGCAAAATGTATTCACATGAAACTGTACAACCTTCGTAGACGTCTCTTGTGAGGAAAGGCTCGAAAATCTTAGCTTATAACTCAATCATCAGCAACAGAAATATTTGGAGAATCTGAAAAGAAATTTTCAATCTTTTAGCAGTCGTTCAACGCCAAT